CGTTGTCGATTGGGACCTCTGAACTGGCCTCCTACACCTCCTCATCTGCAGACTGCCCTGCCCGACCCAGCATGGGGACGCGCTTCAGTCCTGCACCGGAGATGTCCATGCTCTGCCGGCCCTTTCGTGGCATTGGCCACTAGTTCTGTAGCTTTAGGTCCTGGAATTCTAGCCCGTCCGTCCGTGTGGAAAGGATCCCTTTCTCAAATGTGGGTTCTCCCCGGAGGTTTCTCATCTTTTTACCACTTGGTTTTCTTATTGAGTTTCTCATTGCCGATGCAGGAGGGTCTGTTGGGCAAGTTAGTGTCCAACAGAAGGCTGTGGTGTTGATCCAGGACACTTTAAATTTTACAAAAGTATGGACATTGTCAACATTAATGGTCATTGGTCTCTCCCTATGGACCATCTCTATGTGTCTATTTAGTGTCTTAACTATTGAGTCTCTGATTGTGTTGGTTGATTCCTTCTGAGATGATACTGTTGTGCTTTGGGCTAAACAAGTGTCGTTTGTTGTTGTTGTTGTTATTTTAACTTTTGCCTTTAAATCAACATTTCTCTTGATCCCATCAACTCCGCTTACAGTTTTTACCATCATATCTGGCCGGGCTCCAGCTCCCACAGTATCTCAAACAAACAGCTGTTATTTACTGATATTTCCTTCTGACTGTTCTTTCTCATTTCTTATTCCCTGTGCTCTCCTCCCCTTCATTTAAAAACACTGGCAACAGAGCTGTGCCAAATCCAACCCTTTTTATACTTGCTTTTTAGTCGGACAGAAAAACGATTGGATTTTCTTTAAAGATGGAGAGCGGGGAGGCTGGGCTTGGAATGAGCATTATCCTTCAAAACCTTCTGTCAATTACATCCGTGATTAAGGCTTGCTAATGGGACGTTAAGAGCGGACCGCACACTCCGCTGCAGGAGTCACACTGTCTTTCCTCTCTAACTTCACTGATGGAGCCGGGTATTAAGTTCCTTTGGGGCTACGGCAGATTATTTGAGGAGGCCTCCGAAAATCAACCATGCAGGTTTGGGCCTAGATTTAGTGAAAATTGGTGGTTAACGCGGCGTTCATACCACCATTAGTGAGTGATTTGTTACTTACGTGGCAATAAAAACTGATTTGGATTCTGATTGGGTCAGAGGTTTCGAGCGTCTACACCAGGGGGTGTCATTTCATGGCGGCCCGCGGGCAAATCGACCCCCCCAAGAGATTTGACCAGCCCGCGGATCTCATTTATGTAAAATGATAAATAATAATTATAATAATAATGAAAAAAGTTTAAAAAATCCGCCAGGCTCCCGCGACGCACGCGCCGCAACGCTTTGAGCTCAGCAGCGAGGTTGAGTGCTCCTGTAGCGGCTCCCACCGGAGCGTGTTCTCTGATGACAGTAACAGCAAATTTGTCATCTATCAAAAAGGCAAAACCTAAACCCTTACTTCTATAGTACTTCAGATATCAAAGTTATTTAATAGATTTTTCCCAGGTAATGGATGAATATAACTCATTTATGTTAGTTTATTTAAAAGTTGGTATATCACCAGGATTCTCTTGAATTGAACTGTTTCTGTTCAAGTAAGGCCTCATGTTGACATTTTGACGTGTAGAGTCTTAAATGAGACAGGTGTGTTTCTAAACTGGGTGGCACCGGTGGCTGACGGTGGATAGCAGGTTCGCCTCTTAACTACAAGGTTGTACGTACGAATCCCGAAGTTGATATTTAATCTTTATCGCAATCACTTGGAGTTTACTTGGTAATATTGAGTAAAGGACTGTGTACTCGAGGGATTTTTTTTTTCAAGTGAAGTTAATATGCAATGTATTTCAAGGTTTTTTCAAGTAAACTTTACTTGTCAGGGTTTACTGTGTGCTTTGGTTTCATGCAACATTGGCGGTGCTGAGGAATTTCATCTACAAGACTTCGATAAATACTGCACTTTGAGCGGAGAATTGAGATGGACAGAAGATAAACATGATGTCTGGCCCTGAAGAAACAGCAGTCTGTTTGTTGACCAGAGGAGAGCAGTTAGTGATGCTGCTGTGCTGTTGGACAGTTGTGGACTGGTTCACTGCGGCTCGCCTGTTACCGAGGTAAAGGCTGGTGTTGTGACAAAGCTGTAAATGGTGGTGATGATATATGGACATTTGTCTGTATTTTTACAGAGAACTTGCTGCAGTGTTTAGAATAGATCCCGTTATTGAAGTTGTTTTGTTCATTTCAATGAATCATGGTCGGTGTTTGTGCTTTCTCTTGATAATAACATAACCAAGGTCCTTACCTCCTGAAAGATGGTTATGTGACAATAACATATAACATGGTCCTTTAGGCAAGGAAAAGGCTCGCATGTTTATTTATTATAGCACAATTCATAACGAGGCAATGTCAACGTGCTCTGATCAAAATAAGAAAGCTTAAATATCATAAATAATCACAGAACATTAAAAAGAAAGATACAAATATAATTTCCACTTAGATTGTATGCACAGCTAACAGAATGGTCTTTACCTGGGTTTTAAACATTGTCATTGAAGAGGGCCTGTCTCCAATCTTAGGAAGGGACTGTTCCAGATTTTGACCTTTACACACTGAAGTTGGTTTAATGTGTGATAATAACATAACCAAAGTCCTTACCTCACAGAAGATGGTTAAGATGAGGGGCTGTGTTAAAGTGCTTTTTTCTATCTACCTACTTTACCTTTGTGAGCAAGTATTATATGTAATGAGAAAGCAACATACAAATTTTAATATTAAATAATTGTGAAATGCATTTACAATGTTAATTTGTATATACATTACATTATTGGGACTATGATAAACTCAGTTACATTTAAGTTTTGTAACAGATTTTACCGTTTTTTTTATTTATTAAAACCTGAGTGGAGTATTAAAGGACAGTGTTTTAAAGGAAGTTTTAAATAATGTGTTTTTGTGCACTAAAAAGTTTCGACTTTGTACGGTTTTTTCGGGTTTATTTGAAGAGCATATTCTGGTCCGGCCCACTTGAATCCAATTAGATTGTATTTGGCCCACGTGACCTAAATAAGTTTTGACCCCCTGGTCTTTCATCTATTAGACTCCTTACCATATACAACATCTGATTTTGCCAATTTCTGTCCTTTTCAATTTATATATTTTTGTTTGTTGTTTGTTGTTCTCGTTGAAAGTTGAAGAGATTGTCTTTTATAATGAAAAAATTAAGTAAAAAAAAAATACCAATATTGCTATAATAATTATTTTTTTCGTTGTATCGTCTGAGCCCATATATTGGTCCATGGGAGGGAGATGGACCATTGTCCATGAATGTTGATAGATACATGTCGTAGAATGTAGAAAGTCTGGATCATCAGTTTTCGTGTGGAAAAAATCTCTAATCCAGTGCGAGAAAAGTGAGGAAGAAACCTCGGGGAGACCATTATTGTGAGAGGGATCGCTCCACACGGAAGGAAGGGCTGTAGGTTCCAGGACCTAAACAAAGATCGATGGACCATGTTTTTATGTATCTTTGATGATAAATCGTCTCTGGCCCTGTATCACTTTAATAAAAAAAGTAAATCCCTGTGACTTTTGTTCTGTGAAATGGTCCTACATAATTAATCAATATCTTTTTCGTTGTATAAAAAACAAACAAGCCTTTTGAGTTTTTTTTCATGTTACTGTAACTGCCTTCGTCAAAAACAAAGTTAATGCTGCATAAGTATATTTTTTTATATTTTCAAGCTTTTCTCTTGGATTTCAGACAAAAAATATACACCAGGGGGGGGGGGAAACTTAGGAGGACGATGGATTTGTTAAAGCAAAACGAGACATAAAACTGCGTGATACAAGAGACTGGTGACTGAACACTCTGGAGGCAGGTGATATTATAGTCGACAATATTACCTTACAGTTTATCGTACAGGTTCCTGCCATTTAGCTTTAGAATATAATTATGCACAAACAGCATTGAGCACTTTCTGTAATATGGGCCTCTCTGCGCCGCAATCTCATCTGCAGCTCATGTTACCCGATAAGAAAAGCAAGAGTGCACATGACTGCTACTGTAATTGACTTTGCTCAGATGGCAAATTATTTATTTACCAGAGAGAGCAATTTCCTAGGGTGACTTACCAAGATATAAAGTGATTTCTGGGCTTTTGTGTGATAAGAAGTGTCCAAATTGTGTGGCTTGTGTTCAGATTGGGGAGCACGTTTTAATAAATGAGAAATTAATCCATGTCCAGGAATTCACGTCTTAAAAATGAGGTCCATTTTGCAGGGAGTGGTTGGTGAGTTAGTTCCTTGTTCAAAAATATGGACTGGAGGTTTTTGAAATGGGAGTTTAGGTATGATAATTACAGTATATAATGGTCTTGGTTTTTGGGATGTGCTTCTACACTGCCAAAAACAAGTCATAAAATTTTTAGCTTTATCTTTATTTGATTTCATGTGACTGTCTTTTAAAACAAGATTAGCCACTGGGACAAAGCTTGTTTAAAGAACTGTTGTTATTTTCCCATTCCAGAAAGATAATTTTTGGATATTTCTCTTGTAAAATAAGATAAATTGGCTTGTCCTATATTGGCAAATCTTGTTTTTTTAGCAGCAAAATGTGTTCAAATTTAGATTACAATTTTGCCAAATTTGAGCATTTTTTGACTTATATATTACTTCCACTTTTGAAGTGTTCTTTGGAGTAAGATCTCCACCGAGGACTTTCTGAGTGGAGTTTGATGTTCTTCTCGTGTCCTGAGTATAGCTTTTTCCAGGTTGCCCCTTGCGGTTTCCTCCCAGTGCTGTGGTTTCCTCCTGGTCTACGGTTTTGCCAGCACTCAGATCATGTGCAATAGTAATGGATATGACGGTTGACAGTACCCAATTCAGTCATCATTGTGTGTGGAACGTGGAACGGAAAGAAATACACCAACGTTTAAGCGCTTTGTGTGACCTGTGTCCGTGAAAATTCATTACAGTATTTGGATATAATGACACTAACCACAAAGACTGGAGGAAGAAAACACCTAAAAACAAAACCAACATACTTTCTCCTTCCCACCCTCTGTCGCATTGTGAGTCGCTGCGTCCTTTGCCTCTGAAGGACACAAATTAAACATAAACGTTCGCAAATATTATAAAATTGTAAATATATTTCTTCTGTTTTTTGGGTGGAGCGCCAGCGCTTGAAGTCTGTCTACTTCAGCTAAATGGCACACAGTCTCATCCAGGATTTATACAGCGAACGATCTACAGCATCCACCGCTCCAAATCAATACAGATCTGACTTCATTTTGACGTGACCTTCTGCCAGATGTTTCAGGGACTGAGGGTCTGACAGGTCTGTAGTCTCTGCTTTGTTCCACAACGAACGCACCAGAGGCTCCGTGTCTGAGGAGATGATGGAAATGAGGTCCAGGGAAGACTGGGTTTTGACCTGGGCCTCCTCTGACCAGGATTCAGGTCCATCCCTGACCTGAGCCTCCTCTGTCATGTTCTCGGCTATTGTCCGGAGAGAGCTGTGAAACCACTGTGTGTTACACTGTTATGGTGTGTGAAACCAGAGTGTGTGTGAAACCTCCTCCTAAAAGGCCTGGAGTCCTGTGACATCAGAATTTCATATTATCCCATGGCAACTAGTTCCCCTGGTAACTGTATCCATAGACACAGTACAAACTGGGCTGAATAGAATGTTGTTACCATGACGTCATCACATTCTAGATTGCCTTAATTTCTTCAGTAATAATAATTTACATCAATACATATTGTTTTTATTAAACAGACTACAGGGTTTTAAGAGTGTAATAAAAGAGTAGCTCTCTGCTTTTGATGTTGCTGCAGAGTAGCTCACCAAACAAATGGCCCTGTTCTGACGTAACACTAAGTTGACACATTCACCTTCACAAGAAAAGCACAATTTAGAAACATAAAAAACAAGTTCCAAAATTTTAGTTGAGAAACTGATTTTTGAGAGGTGCTCAAAGTGAAAAGTAATGAGACGTTTTCACAGCGATTCTGCGTCTCGGACTCTGAGAAAGTCACGAGTTTCTCCTGGATTTGCATAATGTCAGTGCATCAAAACACATAACTGCTCAAGAGGAATTCTCTTTTTGTTCCAAATAAAATGCTGACTAAGTACATGCTGTGACATAATGGTCTGAACCAAAAGAACAAAACTAAATGTCACAGTACTTTGGACCAAACACGGCTTTACTGAAGGAGAAGGCCTCATTGAATCAAAGAGTCCGACAACAATATGCACAAATTCATATGATTTTGTCAAGATGTGCTACACACACACACACGAGTGCTCTCTCCACGTCCTCCGCTGAAGATGAAATGTAAATGTCACAGAAACATAGAAACATAGAAACACATGCTCACAGTTAGTTATGATCGATTTATTTGTATAACGTATGTAGTTGTAGTGCTTGAAAGTCCATACAGGGGGTTTGATCCCCCTGCTGCAGATATCAATAACATCAAATATATTATTGAAAAATGCTTCAATCAGAATCAGAATTATTTTTATTGTCATTGTAAGTAACAGGAATTCACTCAGTTGGAATTTGCTTTGGATCATGGTGCCAACACAAGGCTCAGGTCACCGTTCTCAACATTACCATATTCCAAGAGGATCCCACAAAACAGAAGTGTCCACACCTCAGAGACGACCAGAATAAAACTCCTCTCTCTGGTGGTAGTATAAGCAAGGCAAGTTTATTCGTAGAGCACAGTTCATACACAAGGCATCCCCGTGTTTAACTCATTCACTGCCAGCCATTTAAAAAGCAACATCCCTCATACTGCCAGAGATTTTGGACATTTTTAGTGTTTTTCCGAACCGCATAGAAATGTGAGCCCTTGGTTGACACAAGTATGAAACATACCAAATGAAAGCTCTATCCCTTGGCTTTCATTTTAAAAAAAATGTAAGTTTCTAACCCTTTTAGTTTTTTAGCAATTGAGAGTGCAACATAGGTAACTTTCACACAAAATGCTGTTTCCTGACCAAGATTTGGAGAAAACAGCCTTTTTGTGAAACGCGCATTTTCAAGCAGAAAAGTGGGGGTTTTTTTTGTCTTTACTGATATTTTACAATGTATGACAGTTTCTTACTATGACACAAAACAGAAACAATACTTTGAATTGTATTTTTAATGTATAATTATTAAACGTGTACACACAATACACTCAAAGGATTGTCTTTGTATACAAATATACAGTAAAAATAACACTTTCTGAACACTTTGTGAAACAATTTTACTTTAGTTTATAAAGAATAGTAATTGGGTGACCCCACACTCTGCTGAAGTGTGGAATCTACTTTCTCCGCACTCCCAATACATTTCCAGATTAGTTTTTTTTTTTACAAACCCAGTGAGAAATGTCAAACCAAAAAAGGTTTTTAGCTGCTAGACTGTCACTGGCTTCCATGCATTTTCTCTGCTGAATGGGAGACGCTGTGTGTGTGCACTGAAATATTGTGCTGCATACAGCTTTGTCTGTTCGACAACAAGATCCAGGATCCAGAAGTTCATTAGTTATGAAGAGCTGCAGAAGTCAGCTGCTGATCCAAATCAAGCTCTGCTGCAGCATTTTGGGGTCCTGGGGTCAACAATCTACAACACAAAGGAAAATATAAAATCACCATACATTTTCACATTATAACAAGTGTTTTGGCTTCAGCAGCTATGACATTGAGATAAAAAAAAAAAACCTCTTCAATACTCGCTAAAAACGTTACTTTGTTTATTTTTACTATAGTATAAACCAGTGATTGCTATAGTCACTCCCTCCAGAATCTCTCTATGTTTGAAGGCAAAATCACGCAAAATCACGCAGACTGAGTAGCCCCTGACTGCAGTCCGCAGATCGGGGCGGAGCTCAACGTGGGCGGAGTCAAACGTTTGACTCCGCCCACGTTGAGCTCCGCCGAGCTGGAGCTAGGCATTGAGGACTGTGCGTATGACAGAGAAGGAGAAGAAGAGCGAAGTAGCTGGCAGAATGGAGGTACTGTAGGCCAGTTTTTTCATTCTGTTTTAACGTGCAACTTTGCTATATTTGTTACCGACAAGGAAGGTGGTAACATTATTTTTATTTTAAAATAAGTTATACTTGTATGTATCTGCATTCTGCACGGTTGGACTTCTAATCTAGTATACCTAGCATTACTGTTGCAGCGAAAATTATATAAACCTGGACTTAAAAACGACTTTTCTGGGTTTTAGATTCATATTTATCCGGCACGACGTACTGGGAAAATATTATACCTTTGGGGAGAAAATGTTATGTGATCGTCATTACTTTTGGGGGGGAAATATTATACTTTTCGCGGGGAAAATACGTTACTTTTTTAATCGTTGTTACATGTTGAATATAGAATAATTAATAGTTACTTAATGTAACTTAAGTTCTACGAATAGGTGCGTAGTCCCTTAGGACTTCGCTAGTGGGATATCACGTAACCCCCAGTTCACACGCCAGAGAGATCAAAATAATTTGCTCCAATCACCAGCCACCCTCCTCTATAAATGCCCCTGCACAAGGCCGCACCCCCTCTTGAACTCTGCCAAGCCGGGCTGGCCTGATGGGCTCGTAGCTAAGGGACTACGCACCTATTCGTAGAACTTAAGTTACATTAAGTAACTATTAATTCTACGTCATGGTGCTACGTCCCTTAGGACTTCGCTAGTGGGACACAACGCGGAGGCCGTAGGAACATGTACTCCCAGCAGGCCAGCGAAGGGTGATTGGAGCTCCGCCCGAGCAAGACCCTCACACAGTGAGGGGACTCAGGGCAGAAGAAACAATGCGTGTTACAGGGCCACTCCTACCAAGGATACCCCCATGTAACACAGATGTAGGTCATCCGTAGTCACAGGACGCCTCTCCCAAGGGCTCCTGGCGTGGACTACCTGACCGACCAAACACACATATATGTACCGCACCTGTAGGATGCCTCTCCCAAGAGCTCCTGAACCAGGGCGGAAAGTAAACCGAAGGCCCCCTCAGAGGAGGGACCTAACGGTCTAACTCAGTCCGCTGCACTCAGCACGGAATGGGCCACCGACCGGTCCGACATATCCAAAAGATAAAACCGGACAAAAGAGGAGGACGACGCCCAAGAAGCCGCACGGCAGTCGTCCTCGACCGACACCCCCCTGAGAAGGGCCGCAGAGGCCGCCATCCCACGCGTGGAATGCGACCTGAAGCCCACCGGGAGGGCCAGACCCTGCGTCTGATACGCCCGCCGCACGGCCGTGGCGACCCAGTGCGCCAGCCGCTGAGCCGACAGCGGGGCGCCCCTGTTCTTGGGGCCCAGACACACAAACAGCTGACCACCCAACCTGAATGACGACGTCATGGCCAGGTAATGCCTCAGCATTCTGACAGGACACAGAAGGTGCCACCGCTCCTCCTCGGGGAAGGCATGCGGTGGCGGATAGAAAGCCCTAATCCTGATGACTCTCGACCTAAAGGCCGACGTGATGACCTTGGGGAGAAAGCCGGATTGGGCCACCATACCACCATGCCGTCGCCCTCTCCAAAGGACAGGCAAGACGCATGGACAGAGAGCGCACACAAGTCGCCCGCCCTCTTAGCAGACGCCAACGCCAACAAGAGGGCCGTCTTAAAGCGTCACACTCGGGACTCGCCTCCGCCGCCGGTTCAAAAGGCGGACCCGACAGCCCCCTAAGGACCACCCTGAGGTCCCAAACCGGGGGCGTTCTCTGGAGCGGGGGCCTCCTCCTGCGTGCCCCCCCGCAGAAAACGTTTAACCAACGGATGAGAGCGGGCTGTGAACCCCCCGAATCCGTCGTGACCCGAAGTAATGGCTGCCGCGAACACCGCCAAGGTGGCGACAGCCCTCCCCTTGTCAAAGAGCTCCTGTAGGAATCCCAGGACCCCCTCCAGCGGGCAACGCCTGGGATCCCAGGAACGAAAACCGCACCAGTCGCTGAAGAGCCTCCACCTCGTGGCGTAGGCCCTCAATGTGGACGGCGCCCTCGCCCCCTGAGTGGTCTCCACCACCGCAGGGGGAAGACCCAGGCCTACGGGGTTCCGCCTCTCAGCCTCCAACCCAGAGCCTGCGGCCGATTATCGGGCGTGAAACAGGGCTCCTCCCCCCCCCGGACTAGAGCCCCCGGCTCGTCCGGGAGGGCCCAGGGCTCCATCACCGCCATGCCCCTCAGGAAGGGGAACCACCGGGCATGCGGACTGTCCGGCGCCACCCGGATCACCGACCTCCTCTCCTGTTCGATCCTCCGCAGCAGGACCGGCAGGAGGCGCACTGGTGGGAAAGCGTACAACAGGCCCCCTGGCCAGGGGTAATGAGCCAGAGCGTCCACGCCTAAGGGCGGCTCGTCCGCGGCCCTTGAGGCGAACCAGGACGGGCACTGTGCGTTTCCTGCACTGGCGAAAAGGTCGACCACTGGACAGCCGAACCTCCGCCAGATCTCCGCAGCTACCCGTGGGGCCAGGCCCCACTCGTCCTGGAGTGGGCCCCCCCCCTGGACATCCTGTCAGCCCCCACGTTCCGGACCCCCGGGACGTGGCGCGCCCTGAGAGACAGGAGGTGAAGCGCCGCCCACAGCAGCGTCACCGTCGCCATGCAATGGAGAGCGGGGGACCTGGTGCCCCCCTGCCTCCCCTGCCTCAGCCACCTGCCTGCGGCACGGTGGCTGAGTGGATAGCACTCTCGCCTCTCAGCAAGAAGGTCCTGGGTTCGAATCCCGGTCGGACCAGGGCCTTTCTGAGTGGAGTTTGCATGTTCTCCCCGTGTCTGCGTAGGTTTCCTCCGGGTACTCCGGTTTCCCCTACCACTAAAAACATGTCCAATAGATCTGGCATGTGCCTCCTGTACTGGCCCGGCTCCCATCTCTGTGTGGAGTGAGAGACAAATGCCCAAAAAAATTAACAATTGTAAACCGCTTTGAGACTCAGATCTGCAGTGAAAAGGCGGTATATAAATAAAAACTTACTTACTTACTTACTGCCTGTTCAGATAGGAGACCACTGCGGTGTTGTCCGAGCGCACCAACACGTGTCTCCCCTGCAGCTGAGGGGCAAAGTGCAGCAGTACTCTGCGCACTGCCTCCATCTCCAGCAGGTTGATGTGACGGGCTGAGTCCGACCAGCAGCCTCCTACAGAACTCTGGCCGAGGACCCTGCCCCATCCTTCGAGCGACGCGTCCGTGAACACCTCCACGTGAGACACGGCGCAGGGCAGAGTCACTCCGTCCCGCAATAGACCCGGAGTGAGCCAGAACCTGATGTTCGATGCTGCCACTTGGGGAACCCAGACCAGCCTCCCCCCGTCCCGGGAGGGGTGAAGCCTGAGGCGTGAGAACCACCTCTGAAAATTCCTCATGTGGAGAAGGCCTAGCCGCACCACAGCATGAGCCGCCGCCCTCATTCCCAGCAGGGACCTGAGGCGCCGAGCGGGAACTCTGGGGCCCGCCAGAACCTCCCTGGGCAGACGGGTAGTGCTCATCCGTCTGTCCACGGACAGTGCAGCACGGAATGTCACAGAGTCTAGCTGCAGGCCGAGATAGATCATGCGCTGAGCCGGTTGCAGCCTGCTTCTACGTCATGGTGCTACGTTCCTTAGCGGACTTCGCTAGTGGGAACACGTGCACCTAATCGTAGAACTTAAGTTACAATAGGTAACTATTAATTTTCTCCCTGTTCACCACAGAGCCCAGGCGCTGTATGTGGGACAGGACCCAGTGCGTGTGACACTTCCCTGGATGATGCCAGAATCAACCAGTCGTCTAAGTAGGTTAAAATTCTTACCCCAGCGCGTCTGAGGACTTTTCCACGCATTGGAAAAGTCCGAGGCGCGAGTGCATAAGTACTCGTAATTCCTCTCTCCCACTGCGAAGCGCAGAAACCTCCTGTGTTCTGGCACTATGGGCACGTGGAAGTACGCATCTGTCAGGTTTATGGAGGACATCTAGTCTCCCTCCCTGACACACTCGAGTAGCTGCTTTGTGGGCAGCATCCGAAACTTCCGTTTGGAAAAGCACTCGTTCAACACGCGCAGATCCAGAATGGGACGCACCCCGCCTGACTTCTTTGGCACTAAGAAGTAAGGGGAGTACAGCCCCCTGGTGGCGTCCTGCGGGTCTACCTCCACTGCTGCGCCTCGACTCAGCAGAGAGGAGACCTCCGCTTGCAGTGCCTCTATTGATCCCCGTATCTGAGAGCGCACTGCCCGTACACCTTGGAATGGTGGTGGCTTATGGAAGAATTGCAGTGCGTAACCCCTGCGCAATGTTTTCTCCAGCCATATACTGTCATCCAAACCCTGCTCCCTCCAGATGCTGTAGAAATCTGTGAGGGGCGGAACGGGAGCTGAAACACGAGACGTCACAGCCCCGCCCTCTCCTGGTGTTCCTAGCAGGGAGGGGGGGTGGCCGAAGGGCCGGGGGGCCCCCTGCGTCACACCGTGAGCGCCGGGGGCGGTCACGTGTTCTGCAGGCCCGACGTCATAAGTACGGGACTGCTCATCACACGTGACTCGGCTGCTGTGCCCCCCCCTGGCTCTTGTCTCATGGAGGGGGGGGCGAGCCCCTGGAGTGGGAAACCCCGTGTTAGCCTTGTAGCTCTGCTCACCACACGTGACTCGGCTGCTGTGCCCCCCTGGCTCTTGCCTCATGGAGGGGGGGACGAGCCCCTGGAGTGGGAAACCCCGTGTTAGCCTTGTAGCTCAGAGATGCTAACACGCGTTCGGCTGGAGCACACACATTATCACTTACCAGATCCCTCCGCCTGCCCTCTCTCCGGGAGGGCAAAAACATGAACCCGTGAATCGGAGCCCGTGGCCCGCTTAGCGCGCTGCACGCCCTTCTCTGGGGGCTGCAGGCCTAGCGGAGCCACGTTATATGCTCGAGAAGTAACACAATCAGAATTCAAATCATTTGACATGTTACATACCCCCAAATGAGACTCAGACAGCGAGTACTGATAAAATGCCGCACGGCTTTTATTGAAAGAATTCTTCCCACCCCGACCTCCTCTGCCATAGGGAGGTCGTCGGTGGGTGCGTTGCTCCCGCGAGCCACCCATGGGTCTGTCTGGACCCGGGGGCCTCGTCGAGGGGGGACGATGGATAACAGAGCGCGGATACGGGTCAGGATGCCTCCCGGGCCAACGTTCTCTGCCTCTGTCCCGGCTCCGTAATGGCTGGTGGGCCTCGCGCCTCGGTGCTAGGTGCGGAGTCGCCCGCCCTCTTAGAAGTAAGTACTGTGGTAGATCTCAAACGGCGCCAGAGTGAAAGAGGGGGTGCGGCCTTGTGCAGGGGCATTTATAGAGGAGGGTGGCTGGTGGTTGGAGCAAATTATTTTGATCTCTCTGGCGTGCAGTGTTGCCAACTCCTCAGTAAGGAAAGTAGCTATTGGCTGTCCCAAAAGTCGCTAGAAGTCGCTAAATGACGTCATCGCCTAATTTGCATAATTTGCCATTTGCAAATAACTGTAACGGACGCTGTAGGAGAGAGGAATAAGGTCGTGGGAGAGACAAAAGTGAGTAAAAACACCCTAAATATGTTTAGAACTACAAATGTACAAAAATAATTTCAACATTAACAACATTTAATGATTTTAATGCTTTGTCTAGATCCACATTACACACATCAGTTTTGTCCTGTATTGTTAAATGTTATAACAGCAAATGTAATCAAAAGATTGTTATGTAGGGTGAAATTGCTAGCTCTACAACCAACCCTCCTCCTTTATCCGGGCTTGGGACCGGCAAAGTGACCCAAAAGACACACTCTGGCAGAGTTACTTAGGTTTATTTTTGTAAGTTTTTTTTTTTTTTCATAGTTTGGCATAACAAATGATTTAATGTGACCCACTACTGAGAGAAAACAGAGTCACGGACAGAGCTGCCGCGGATGGAGTGGGGGGTAGTGGGGGGTGGCGGTGGTAGGAGTGGCCGGGGAGCTTTGGATGTGTGGTGGTGGTGGAGCTGAAATTCAGTCTGCAGCAGCCTGAAAACTTCCTGTGCTTTTGAGTCTCCTCTCTCTCTCTCTGCTCCGCCCATAGACTGTAGCTGGGACTGCTGCGCAAGGCTACTGTGAGACTGGCCGCCTGTAAGTGCTTTGGGACGGGGGAGGGGCTCACGTTGAGGACAGCAGAACAATACGTGCTTCACGAGTCTCCAAAACACCAGATAAGTCGCCAAAACACCAGATAAGTCGCCAATAACACCAGAAAAAGTCGCTAGATTTGTCGCTAGTCGCTTTTTTGAAAAAAAGTCGCTATAGGGGTCTGAAAAGTCGCTAAATCTAGCGACAAAGTCGCTAAGTTGGCAACACTGCTGGCGTGTGACCTGGGGGTCACGTGATATCCCACTAGCGAAGTCCTAAGGGACGTAGCACCATGACGTAGAATGTAAGAATATAAAGCCAATATGCTAATATGTGATTTAAGCATATTTGAAATGGTACCATTCATAAGCATTTGACAATCTGACACTTACATCTGAGTAATCTGCAGGAAATTGATATTGCTCTTCCTTGCATGTTAACATCCATGACATGACATTTGTTTTTTAAATGAAAAATTATTTCATATATTTTGTCTCGTGTGTTTCTAATTGCTGTGCCTTTTATGTCTATTGTTTTCCCCTCTAATATAGAGACACATCAGCATACTGATCAATGGTGAAATATCACTTTCAAAATGCACTGATGAGGGTTTGTTCAAAGTGTTTATGCATTTGAATCAAAAGTTGATTTTAGTTCAGTTACTTTTAGTTACTTCTGCTTACTCTTTGCACAGACACATTGCTCACAGCCTGTCTCCTGGCCCCTGGAGGGAGCTTGGCGTGAATGATGTTCAGGTGAGACGTTACTTCATAGTATTTGCTAACATTTACTATTTTCTTGCCATTCTTTTATTAAAAGACCTTGTTCACACCTCAGGGCCTAACAAAGCAAGGGTGCTCCAACAACTGTGGCGTGTTTGTTTTGATGGTAAGACCTATTCAGTATGTTATATCTTTGCTGTTATCTGTAAAATGTTTGCTTGCTACATTAAAAACACATTATATGTATTGGAAAATTGTATCCTGAGGAAATATGCATGACATTAGTACATTAACCAGTACCTCTTGACTTACAGTACACGCTGTACATTGTAATGGGGGCCAATTGTGACTTCAGAGAGGTATGTGAAAATTGTGACACATTACGCTTAGTATACAACTTATCATTCCTGAACACATATTTGAATCTTCCTTTCTTTTTTCAAAGGAAAACATGCTGCAAATTAGGAGATGGTGGTGTCTTGTCCTCCTACAGAACTTCCCCATGTGCCCTCATGATCACACTTTTGAATTAGATCCTTTTAAATACTCACGGTCAACAGACCAACATGAATGTTTTCATAGTAAATTAATGTTGTCATTACATCATCAAGGTCTAAGGAAACCAGATTGCAGGAAAGAAAAAGACGGAGAAAGCAAAAAGGAAAACAGGTGAGAGTTGATTAATTTGTCCTGTAGTCAAACTATTGCTTGCAGACTAAAGCATAATCCCCCCCATTTATTTCAGGATCTGGAAGTGGTCCCTCCAAAAAGTATTCGGCTTTCAGAATCTGTCTCTGAAGCATCAGGTATTGTTCAAAACAGTATTATTGTACACAACCCCCAAGGTTGTAGAGATGGGATGTGACGTAGCTGGTTTTGCTGTAATTTCTCAATTTTCATTAAACCAGTATACTTAAAATAAGCTACTGATCTTTTTTAGAACTTGCATTGTTATTATACCTTTAAGAACCATAATCTGTTTCCTTTCTAGCAAAGGCTGAGAGCTTGCCGGAAGTGGGAACTGGGAACGGAGTATGTTACCCGTTGTGAGCTTTTCTTATTTCACTGTTTGCTGCCTTCTTCAACCTCTATTTTAATATTCATTTTCTTAATTTTTCATTAGGAGGATTCCCTGCTTATGGACACCTTAACGGCAGCAAGGTGGTGTGGCACAAGATCCTTCAACAAGGGAAAACTTTACCTTCCCCAGGTCATCACCATGAACAAGGAAGATTCCTTGAGGGCAGTGGAAATGCTGCGCATGTGTGATGGCCTGGATGAAGAGTATAAAGAAGTGAAGACAGTGAACCGTTCATTTTCATGTTTAGTTTGCAGGCAGACTATGAGGAGTTCTGCAAGGAAATGATGGACAAAAGGCAGCTGCAGGTGTTTTCCGGCTTTGAAATGAGATAATTTTCTGCTCACACATGCTGCATTTCTTTGCATTTTCACTTTGTTTTGGTTCTCCTAGTGTGGTTTTTGGTGATTTTGTTTGTACTTTTTTTATACCTGTGTTCCGGTTATGGCTTTTGTTTGTGTTATAAAATTTACCTTTTTGAAACATCAAGTCTGCATCCTTGGGTCCACTGTCTCGCTACCCCACCTCAAACCTCGGCTGTTTTCAGAAGTGTCAGTGGCACAATTCAGTCTCTGTTCTCCTTAATGTAGCTGATATAATTGAGTGGATACATTTATATAAGAATTTTTATTTTTTTAAATGAAGGCAGCATGGATAAAAAATAATGGACAGTAAAAAAATAAGGCTTTTGACAAGTTGAAAGTAGAAGCCTGATATTAAATGTTGATTTCACTTCACTGTTCTAGTTCAGTGGGAGCTGAACCTCATTAAAAAGTTGTGTGTAAAGTTGTGAGGGCTCATGGAAATGTAATCATATTACTATTATATTAGTATCATTTATTTTATGAGACAAGAATGCATGTAGAATATTATGTAACCTTACTATTATGTAAGCTGGTATTTACATTTGAGACAAAAAGAAACAGGTTTTACCAAAGATTTACATTTTGACACCAGATGTGATCCTGATATAAATAACAATGAATGGTGTCCCATACAAAAGCTTTTTATATTATTACAAGCTTAGGTGTAACATCAGAATCGGTCAGAATCAGGTGCAATAATAAATAATGGTACCAAAAATAGTTTATAAATATACATAATATACAAAGGAGTAGAAGAATGAAAAGCATATCGGGACCGATAAATATTAATTATTTTTTTAAATCATCAACTTGATGATTTTACCCTTGATTAAGATTAAAATCAGGGTAAAATGAAAAAAAAAAAACGCTTCCGTTAAATAAAAGAAAAAAAAAAGAAGCTTCCGCGGTGGGCGGAGTCAAACGTTTGACTCCGCCCACGTTGAGCTCCGCCCCGATCTGCGGACTGCAGTCAGGGGTATATGCGCAGACTCCGCGCCCGCTGCTGCTTCCAAAGCAGCAGCGGGCGCGCTCCTGACGCACCCTCCACAGTGAGACGCACCACAGCAGAATACACATGGTGCGGTAAATCTAACACTTGTTGCTCACCATGGGTCCCGCTCACCGGTCTGCCATGGATCACCTCCCCCTATCCCTTCTATAAACCACACGGTAACAGCATCCATAGCTCCCTGGCAGCTAATGCTGCATGCCAGATTCACACGCCTCCAAACTCAACAGGGAAACTTTTAGAAAAATGTCCCGCGTAATCAAGCATTTTACCCCGCAATAATCATTCATCAATCAACAATTGCGCGCAAAATCCTGGAGGGGCTGTTATTACATTGGACAAAGGGGAGAAATAAACTCGTAAATGCAACATGTTGAAGTGAAAAGCAACTTACCACATGACGACGAGGGGAGGAGCCGCTGCCGCTGCTGCTGCTGGACGAGGAGGGAGGGAGAACCCTCCGAGGATCCTGGAGCCTCATGTTAACTAAAACCTGAAGAACTAGCATCGTGGCATCTAGTTGCTTCTTATTTATCCGTTTGATGACTGAACAGGCTCTCAGACAGCGTTAGCTGCGTGAGCTTCTCAGATCCGCGGTCCTTTGTGTAAGCATGGCTGCTCCTCTGGCTGTTTGATGCTCACAGCACCACATGCCCCCTTCTCCCTCCCTGGATCTGGCCACAGTGTCACCTCTGCCCCCTACAGGATCGGTTCCAAAGTGTTTATAGGTCTGAAATGTTGACACAGGATGCACAAGAGCCTTGACGAGCCATAGAAAGAAAAAAACGAAAAAAAAGCGATTGACGTCTATAGACGTCAATGGCAGTGAACTGAGTTAACTTTGACTCAGGAGGAGGCCAGTCCCTGTGCTCCTCAGAGTCCCAGGAGGAGGCCAGTCCCTGTGCTCCTCAGAGTTGGTTCATATGGCACTAACATGTCTCGGATGCAAAGCTGCTTTTAAGTCTCTTCTCTGAGTTGCGTCTGGAGTTACAACAATATTATAGCCATACAAAGGACAAAAATAATGCATAAATATTTTCCACTAAGAACTTAGTGTAAATAATGTAATGGAACCTCAGCTTGCCTCAGTTTGTATTTAGTGATTAAACCGCTTAATTCTTCTGTTCAGTAATCTTCAAACTCCTAACGACACAATCACAATCAACATCTTGTCTCTGATCTTTGTCTAATTTCCCTATTGTGACGAAAATGTGGCGTCTGGCTGCGGTGAGCACACAATAAACTGTCAGCTCCACAAACGCCTCGTCTCATTCTGTCGTGCTAATGATTTAGACATTATTCCATTTATTTCCACTTCTGTCCCTTGTGTAATTTATGATTGCTTCAAAGAGTGACTCATTATCAGTCAAACCATGTGGAATCATTTAAGATCGAGGAAATGGCATTGGCGAAGAGATATATACTAATAATATCATTGAGACTGTAAACGTTAGATGCACTTTAAAGTAATGTAATTATGTAGCTTCGTACAGTCTCACATATTTGCACAAATATTTTTCTGTTTGGTGAATATTATCCTAAACTGGTTTGATGCTAAACTGCATTTTGTTGCATTGTTTTGACTTTGTAATGACAATAAAGTTTTATCTAAACAGGTAATAAAGGAAGTATTTAGAAATCTCCTTTAGACTTCCACCTTAACGAGCAGGACTGAGGGCGTGGACCCGGGACGGAGGGCGTGGACCCAGGTCTGAGAGCGTGGACCCAGGTCTGAGAGCGTGGACCCAGGACTGAGGCTGTACATGGAGGAAAGAGTGATACCGCTTTGATGAACCAGCTCTGCCTCTTCAACTTAATCCCAAATGATGGCATAGCTAGTTGTTTTTGTAAACTCAAACTGGGATCGTTGCCATGGCGACGCTGAAGATAGCTTCTCCAGCCTGCATCACTCGTGCTGCTGTCAGACTGTACTGTTTTTAGACACATCCACCGGTGGTATTCATATTCTGTGCTTCTCTCCTGGTGCTCCTCTTCGGATGGATGCAGAGCTGGGGCAGAGGACGTGTGGGGGGTTAGGGTCAAAGTTCTGAGAGGAGCCCCGTCATTTAGAGCTCGGAGTGCAGCCCAAAATAAAACTAAAAAGTCTCGGCAAGTGCTGTGTGTCTGTTGTTTTTGAGGAATGACAAATCCAATGTAAGTGAGAGACCTTAAAGCTGAGGCACTGAACCTATGGGGGAGGTCTCAGCTCTAAAACATTTCCATTTCCAACCAACACATTAAAGAAAGGTCCACAGATGAAAGCGTTCACACAGAGGCAGAGGTTTGTTTTGACATTCATTTCATCTCGGTTGTTGTCTCTTAGTTTCTCTGTTTGCGGAATCAGGACGTGTTCATTTTCAACACTTGACACAGATTGTTGACACACGTAGAATCATTAGATCTTTTTTTCCAAAACATATTTCACAAACCAGGATGATATTGTGTGAGTGTTTTCTCTCCCCAGACTGTGAGGCACAGCTGGCACAGCAGAATTTCAGCCGTCACAAAACTCAATCCAGGCCTGAATTTGGAGCCAATAAAGATATTTCGCAGGTGTAAGATTGCTCTTGTTACTCGCTAAACAATCCGACAGAGAGCTGCTGTTGTTAGGATTGATGTCACGAGGAGACCCGAGAGACCAGAGTCCTGGATCCACAGCCTCAGTCCTGGGTCTACAGCCTCAGTCCTGGATGTAAACCAGATGTTGCTCACTTTTCCAACTGGATTTATGGGGTTGTTGCAGGAGGACAGTGATGACCCAGGACACTCCACATTCATTAACATTTATAGACAGTGGTCTCTGCCCCTTATGAACCAATGTGTTTTTTTACCATTGCATTTCCTGTGTTTGAACGGTTTGATTCTCTGATCTGTGTCGGAAAATTGACAGCTTTGTACAGTCCTCTGAGATAAATACTGCTGTTATTTAGGTTGATACATAAATACATTGAATTGAACTGAACTTGGCTTAAGAATATCTGGAAGGGCATTTTTAGACCCAGAGCACATTATTGCATGTAAGCATGTAATCTGGCTTCCTGCTGCGCTCTGATTGGTCGCCTGCAAGCCTTGTTAAAAGAATCACATTGAGTTCTCTGCTCGACGATCTACCTCCTGAAGAGCCACCATTCTGCTGCTGCACCTGGAGGAGTAGTGTGTTTGTGCAAAATGCAATGATAAAAACAAAAAAACACGTAGAGACATTGGTCCATAAGGGGCAGAGACCAATGTCCAAAAATGTTGATGAATGTGGAGGGTCATGGGTTTTCACTGTCCAGAGCCTCCTGCACCAGAGGAGCAACTCTATAACGAAAGCTTTCAGGTTTAGCAGGATGTGTTCAGTGTTGCTCCTGTGGAAGTGTTTTTCTGATGTCCCTGTTTGTCACAGTCTCTCGGTGCTACAGGTCTTTATATAAATAGAACCAGTCGATACAAACAGGACACTGACACTTTCTTTTCATTGATTTCTGTGAACACAGATAATGAAAGGGGAAGACGGTTCGATCATGTAAGTTACATCCAGGCGACAGCAGAGCTGCCGATTGTGGCGCAGTAGAATCAGTTCATTACAGTACAAGTCTCTGTCCCAGTAGCGGCGCCAGGTTTGCAATTATGTGTAGGCCTGCGGATTAGTAAGTAGGCCTAATTCGCTCGCAAACTACAAGGGGTAGTTGAATTGGGGTTTCAAAGAATATGGTTTAAACGCACGCACGCACACGCACTCAAGCGCACACACACGCACTCAAGCGCACACACACGCACACATGCACACACGCGCGCACGCCTGGAGTTTACCTCATTAGTGCGAAGCAAGCCTGCATGGCCTGACTGCGCTCTTCTCTTCTGTGACCTACGGGGCCGGGCCTCTGGCTCCTCTACCTCACGAAGTTCACGCTGAACTTTCTTAAAACTAGAAATAAAAAGGGTACTCTGTTGTGAATGTTTTGAGAGCATTGTGAAT